TCTCTTGCACACACACACACACACAGAGTACAAAACTCTATAAAGGTTTGGTTTAATCTCTGGTTTGCTAGTGAAACTGAATGAGCATGTCGTGAAAGTATGCAAAGCATGTCCCTAACATGAAAAGTTTGGAAAGCTCTGATCTATACACTAGACTCCTTTTGATTCAGTCTGGCCATGTTGTCCGAATGCCCAAACACCGTCTCTTAAAGCAGTTACTCTACTCCCAACTCAAGAACGGAAAGTGGAATATTGGTGGACAGGAGAAGATATTTAAAAATGAGCTTTAAAAACGGTGGTATAGACACCAAGAACTGGGAAGCACTGGCTCTTGAGCACTCTAACTTGAGGTCAGCTGTGGCCAGCAGTGCTGTGGAATTTGAAGATGCTTGAATGGACGGCGAAAGGAGAAACATGCCAAGAGGAAGGTGCATCAAGCTAACCCTGACTGGAACTGCCTTCTATCTGGAAACCGATGCCTTCACTGTAGAAGAACATATGGGTCAAGAATAGGTCTCCACAGTCACCTATGGACCCACCACCAAGACCCTTCAACAAGGGATCGCCTAAGGCAATAATCGTTTTGGCTTTTTGAGCTGCCACATCACACTGTTGGGTCATTCAAGTCAACCCTGACTGGGACTGCCTTCAATCTGGAAACTGATACTCTCACTGTGAAAGAACATACAGGTCAAGAATAGGTCTCCACAGTCACCTATGGACCCACCACCAAGACCCTTCACTTTGAAGGCCATCATGCTTGGACAACAAGGGATCGCCTAAGGCAATAATCGTTTTGGCTTTTTGAGCTGCCACATCACACTGTTGGGTCAAGTCAACCCTGACTGGGACTGCCTTCAATCTGGAAACTGATACTCTCACTGTGAAAGTACATACAGGTCAAGAATAGGTCTCCACAGTCACCTATGGACCCACCACCAAGACCCTTCAACAAGGGATCGCCTAAGGCAATAATCGTTTTGGCTTTTTGAGCTGCCACATCACACTGTTGGGTCATTCAAGTCAACCCTGACTGGGACTGCCTTCAATCTGGAAACTGATACTCTCACTGTGAAAGAACATACAGGTCAAGAATAGGTCTCCACAGTCACCTATGGACCCACCACCAAGACCCTTCACTTTGAAGGCCATCATGCTTGGACAACAAGGGATCGCCTAAGGCAATAATCGTTTTGGCTTTTTGAGCTGCCACATCACACTGTTGGGTCAAGTCAACCCTGACTGGGACTGCCTTCAATCTGGAAACTGATACTCTCACTGTGAAAGAACATACAGGTCAAGAATAGGTCTCCACAGTCACCTATGGACCCACCACCAAGACCCTTCACTTTGAAGGCCATCATGCTTGGACAACAAGGGATCGCCTAAGGCAATAATCGTTTTGGCTTTTTGAGCTGCCACATCACACTGTTGGGTCAAGTCAACCCTGACTGGGACTGCCTTCAATCTGGAAACTGATACTCTCACTGTGAAAGAACATACAGGTCAAGAATAGGTCTCCACAGTCACCTATGGACCCACCACCAAGACCCTTCACTTTGAAGGCCATCATGCTTGGACAACAAGGGATCGCCTAAGGCAATAATCGTTTTGGCTTTTTGAGCTGCCACATCACACTGTTGGGTCAAGTCAACCCTGACTGGGACTGCCTTCAATCTGGAAACTGATACTCTCACTGTGAAAGAACATACAGGTCAAGAATAGGTCTCCACAGTCACCTATGGACCCACCACCAAGACCCTTCAACAAGGGATCGCCTAAGGCAATAATCGTTTTGGCTTTTTGAGCTGCCACATCACACTGTTGGGTCAAGTCAACCCTGACTGGGACTGCCTTCAATCTGGAAACTGATACTCTCACTGTGAAAGAACATACAGGTCAAGAATAGGTCTCCACAGTCACCTATGGACCCACCACCAAGTCCCTTCACTTTGAAGGCCATCATGCTTGGACAACAAGGGATCGCCTAAGGCAATAATCGTTTTGGCTTTTTGAGCTGCCACATCACACTGTTGGGTCACGTTCAGCTTATGGTTTACTAAACCTCCAGGAGACCACAACCTGAACATGAGTCAACTTCGAGTCTGATGCTAACATGCTCCATTCACAGCACAAGGCGGACAATATTAAGTTAATACACATTTCATCACATG